GAAGAAATGACGCAGTTACCGGACAACAGGTGTCCTTCTACAGCCCTTGTTTTTACACCAGTCGCTATGGTTACAAGATGTGCGCACGCCTCTATTTAAACGGTGATGGCATTGGCAAAGGAACACACATCTCAATCTTCTTTGTTGTCATGCGCGGTCATTATGACGCGTTACTCCGCTGGCCGTTCAGACAGAAGGTCACCTTCATGTTGCTCGATCAAGATAACGTGGAACATATGATCGACGCCTTCAGGCCTGATCCGAGTAGCTCCTCCTTCCAGAGGCCAAGAAGAGAAACCAACATCGCCAGTGGATGTCCAATGTTCTGTTCCCTTGCTGAACTGAACAACCATGCGTATGTTCGGGATGACACGATGTTTCTGAAGATCATTGTGGATACATCTGATCTGTAAAGTAAAATTCTGGGTGCGTTTCTTTGGGATGATCTGTATCTGTATCAGTAATCTAAGATCACCCTGATCATGGTGCATCGGAACTGATGAATCCACTCTGACCAAGGATTCATCGGTTTCTTTGATGCATCAGGATCCGAGTGATCTGGGATCATTGACCTTGATCCGAATCATCCCAAAGGAACGCACCCTTTGTTTGGCTGTACGCCGTTTTCAACATATTTTGTGATTACCCTTTGATTGCTTGAGGTGACCTCTATAAGCATTGCAATTTTCTTCTTGTTTATTTTCTTCATCGCAGTTTAGTAGACGGGAACGGAATAAATAGTAGCGTATTGTTTTTCCCTTTTCCTTTCAAGTTTACACTGGTCACATATATAATTTGTTCTGTGATTATTTGCCATGGCGCTGTTTTTCTGTATGGAAAGAAATTGTCTATTTTTTTACTTTGTGACGTCTGATGTACATGTAAAGCGGTTTCCCAATCGTCTTGGAGTGCAAAGTGATCAAGCACTTGCTTTGTTGTTCCGTCGTAGACCAAGCGAAAACTCGTTCTTCTCAGTCAATCAGGATCAAGCCAAAATTAAATTAGGCTACAGGACTACCACCGCCATTGCCACCAGCAGCTCATCCTCTCTTGCCGCCGGTTATTAGTTGTGTTTTTTACTCCGATTTCTCAATGGTGCATAATACTGTTCACTAGTGTCGTCAAAACTGTGTCTGGTTCTTGTTTTGAACTATTAATGGCAAACCGCTCTTACATTATGTCGTGTGATCAGAATTTCCCTACTGAATACTGCTAAGCTCAGAAATAGCCATGTGAGAGCTTTGTTAAGATTCATTTTCATTACCCCAAAGTAGTTTGTGTGGAAAATGTTCATGTGTATACATATTAATTATAACATGATATTTGTATTGTAAATCGATATTGCTAATTTATAATAGACATAAAACGTTTATCTTTTAAAAAGATTAGTGTTCATGGCGATTTGTCCTGGCATTAAGACACGGTCAGACACGCGGATAAAGCTGATCGCTGTAAGAAGAGAAACATATGCAGTTCAATTTAGTAGTCATGTGGTTACGTGGGAAAAACACGATAATATGTTTGGAAAGTGGTATAGTTGTAATTTTGAAAACCCATTGTGAGCTGGTGAAGAATCTCGTTTGTTTTATGTTGTGGAATACATGTCCTCGTGCAGCGTGCAGAGTTTCTCACACGGTCGAGTTTTCAGAATTCAGCACCATCGTGAAAATCTCTTTGTTCAACATAGGAAAAACAAAGTGTTACCATTCTTTGAAGTAAGCAATTAGGCTATCGGAAGGATTCAGTTATAACAAGGAAGCGCAGGGTCGTGTGGTATGCTCTTTTTTTGTGGATGAGTGCTAATCATTCTTCCTTTTATGGTGTCTATTGTGCTGACCTCCTCGAGGTAGACACCGGAAACGCTTTTTGTCCGTTGTTATTGTTTTAATGCTGTATTCTCTTGACCTACGTTTGCTCGTATTACAATGCTGAAGGGAGACAGGAAGAAAAAGGGTTGACTACCGAGTCATTCACTGTTACAAAGCCATCAAGTGTACCTTTTGAAAACAGTTTTGCCAACATTGGAGATCTCTTTGAATTTGAAACCCTTATTCTATTTTATAACCTTGCGGGCAAAGTATTCCGTGAAGCAAAATAACAGTTCATTGGACAATTTCAGTATGCAGAAGTAGAATATGTGAACTAAATCAAGTTTTAAAGGTGGCACCCTTGAGCAATTAGAAATTAAACTAGACGGTAAGATTTCGCCGACGAATTGGAATTTAAACTAATGAACAAAACATGCAATCGAAAATCAATGAGCTTGCAAAGAGAAACTAACAAATCTTTATAGTCTCTTTCGAACCCGGAGTGAATCTTTAGATTGCCAGAAAGCTGTTGCTTAAAAGTTTATGTCAGTAGTGTGCTAACAATTCTGACGACTGTTTCACTCGAAGCAATCGTTTCCACTTTTTTGGGGGGAGTGGGGAGGGGGGGGGCGGTGTACCAATTGCAGCTCAGGGGTACCGGTGTAGTGCTTTTACGGCGAGATGCCATCCGTAACAAAGCGGCTAACAGCGCAGCCATCATTTAGAGAGAGCAGTTTATGCGTGGCTTGTTGAAAGTTGTATATGAGGTCATGTTTTCCACAACATAAAATCAAATGAGACTTCTAGATATTTGCTTCATATTCGTATGTTTGGAACTTAAGAAGTGACCGTGGGACAAATCGTCAGTCGCGAAAATGTCTTCTCTTGTTAAGAGAGACTACCGAGGCATATTCTTTTAGTGAGAACAGTGACAGGACGAAACGAAATCTTACGCTAGTCGCGGAAAGGTTGCCACTGATGTCTTTATGTTTAATTCGATTGTATGAAAAGGCTTTAAATCTTGTTGATTTATGTATAATCTTAAATGCAGATTTCGTTGAATTTGTTATTGGTGTGTTACAAAAGGTTCAATGATTAACTATTATTGCATGATATATTAGAACCTGTTTAGAGTAGACACCCTGTATTAAGCGGACACTAGTGAGTGTCTCAAGGGTGTCCGCTTAATACAGGTTTCACTGTATAACTGTTTGTAAATTAAGAAATAGACTGGGCAGTGATCATTTGCAGATATATATATATCTTAGTTAATTGAAACTGGGCCTAAGGAGGTTCATTAATTAAAGGTTTTGTTGCATTTGTTCCCAAGACTCATGTTTGTAAAGTCCTGATTCACACTAGCGACATAACGGCAAGGTTGGTTTAGTGCGTTGTTAACCATTAAAGTGAACAACGCACTAAACCAAGAGACCACTAAGGGAACTGAA